ATGTGATTTGTTCCTAAATTAAAAAAAACAAAAACACGATTGAGTCTAATCCTACAAGACAGAAGTACACTAAAACATTATGCTCCATTGCTTGACCTGCATCTTATCCATATCCATCTAATCCGACGTCGATACTCCCCCACTCCATATACACACAGCACAGTAATATCACATGTTTTATGGTTTTCAAAAAAAAGTTGGTGAAGCGATTATTTTCACTCAAATATATAACAACGCACATGTTTTGCTGGTTTAATCCGTCAACAGAGGGCGTTGTGCGGGCGAAATACTAGTACATAAAACGCTGACTAGAAACATTATTTTTTGGCCTAACCACTAAGGAATAATTATCTTCTCCGTGTACCAATACCAGAGTTCACTAAAATCTCATTTCCACATTAATTTGATGATAACAACACTTTAACATGGTATAAAAATCAATAACCTATCTTTCCGCATCAATCAAAGGGATGGGTATCAGTGATTTGTTGTATTTACATAATGTGGCGATAATGTATTTTGAATTAATTTGTTTCCGCGCTGGCCCGCATGCCCCCCGGTTTACGTCGCATATGTGATTTACTCTGGAACAAATACAATCCACGACCTGTGATTTACAGTCATCATGGCGAATTGCAAAGACGACATTAGGAATCAGAAGTTTTGGCGAGCGCTCGTTGGTGAATTTATCGGTACTCTTTTCATAGTGTTTTTTGGCATAGGATCATCGATAAGTTGGAATCCACCACATACACCAAGTGTAGTACAAATTTCTTTGTGTTCTGGGCTGACAGTTGCCACTATGATACAGTGCTTTGTACACGTTAGCGGAGCGCACTTCAATCCAGCAATAACTTGCACCTTTCTCGTAACAAGACAAATCAGTGTTCTGCGGGCGTTTCTCTACTTGGTCAGCCAACTTATCGGCGCGATTGCTGGTGCTGGATTGATTTATGCCGTTACCCCAGCCGGTGTCCGGGGAGGGCTCGGAACGACTTCACTCGGCGCCGGCGTTACCGCCGAGCAAGGATTCGCCATCGAATATATGATAACGTTTGTGCTGTTGTTCACATTATGTGCTACCATCGATCCGAAAAGAACAGATTTACAAGGTTCCGGTCCCCTTGCAGTTGGTTTATCTGTTGTTATTGGCGTTTTGTTTGCGGTAAGTGACATTTTTCTCAAAGTAGTTTTATCACAAAAATCGAAACACGAAAATGAGCCACTACTACATGCACAGTCACGTAGCAAATGTTTACAATCTTGACAAGGTTGCATAACTTCTAGCTCATATATTCACACTGTGACTGTGCTTAGAACGACTTTTTTGAAGAGATATAAAACAACACGTTATTTTATTGTTCATTCCTTGATTCAACCAATCTTACACCAAAGCCAAATGATAATTCAAGACAGCTTCAACTACTATTGCCGGCACGGTTTATTCATGTTGCTTTGGACATTTGGAATTTACACCATACCTGACATTTTAACAACGTGAAGTGAACTAATGTTATTCAGATCACCATATTTCAAAGCCACGCGTGGTAATATGTAGGTCGCTACCTTCAAAATGTAGTTTTGGCTGTTTAATTCATATACGTTCTGAATGACACTTTCTAAAGTGTTTTTTCTTTTTTTTTTTTTTTTTTTGAGCTTGAATAATTGACTTGGACCAGACAAAACGACTCTAAAATTCTTACTAAATTAATCGCAAATATCAGACGTTCAGTTTACTACGGACAAGTGCTTAATGCACAAATCAATACATGAAACGCCCCCTGCATGGTCCGAACGACGAGTGTACCGGTAGTTCAACTCATTTCGTTGCTTGGTTGTGGAATGGCAGACATAACGCGTGAAAAATCGTTGCAATAGTAGCGTTCACGCTACTCGTACGCAAAGTACGGGCTAATCTCATATGTTTGCATATCGGATAGACTCAATTGCGTTCATGTACGAGAGAAAGTAGTGGTTATCACGGGCCAGGGAACGCCCAAACTTGTTTAAAATATACGAAATTAAAATTTTCAGTCATTTTAGCTAGGATTACTCAGTACGGTACCTACAGTACAGTACCTAGGCATACATGTTAGTTCTACGCGTCTAAAACAATACCAAAGCAAATGCAGAAATTGCAGATTGCAGAATAACAGGAAGTATCACAGAGTCTCATCGTTAGTTTATCTTTTCCCTGCTAAGAACAATGTCCCTAGATGTACTCGCGTTGGTTGTCATGCCGGAAATGGCATGCCGGAATAACTAGGAATATAATAGTAAATCGTCCAAATAAACATTGAATACACTGGCGTTTTTGCTGCTTAGCCTGAGATAAGCGTTCACGCACACCTCGTTAGCCCGGGACCGGGTCTTAAAAACGGGCCAGATTTAGATATCAGCCCATGCTAAGAAAATGTGCCTGGGCGCTTAGCACACGTCTCATTATACATGTGAATATTAATGAGCACGCGGGATTTGTTTGCAGTGGCTTTCATTTTGGACAACTTTACTCTGTGCTGGGTACTAGTATAGTTAATTTTTACACATTTCTTTAAGACGTGAGTGTAACATGACAGAAATTAAACGTATATTTTAGTATACGAGTATATTCTGCAAGTAAGAACAACATCAAAATGTTATGAATACGAAATAATCCAACAAAATGGGAAACGTCACATAATCTTTTATTTAAAAAAAAAAATCGAAGCTGAAAATCAGCTCAAATTTTTGTCTGACATCTCAGTTGTTTTTCCGCTGACAGTTACGATCCTAACGTGAACTGTGAAGCAAATTCCTCATTGACATTGAGACAATTGTAATGAAGATTCAATGGAAACCTTAGAATTTTGAAGCGGAATAACGCAAGGCGATTATTTTTATCGAATAAATTGTCTTGATGAGTAAGGGAATATCAACAGATCGATGTTGGATTACGGAATACTTCGATGACTGGAATAGAACCCAGCACGCTCAATAATTCAAATTCTAGTAAATATCCAGGTACACGGCAAGGTAACGCATAGTTACTGCCGGACTCGTTGGATCCGCGGATACACAAAATGTACCACACATTGCGCAATACTGATCAAGAACAACGCTTTTGGTGTTTTAATTTAGATATTAAAAACAAATCTGGCAAATGAATAGGTCACGAACCATTTTTTTTGGAGGGGGTAAATTACTTGGCACGGATTAGGAGTTATTTTAAAACTCAAAGTAATGGAACAATTACTGGAGACCTGCATTTTTGTAGATACGGCAGGTTCAATAATTTACCTTTTACTAATCAGGGATTGCGTTAACCCCATATTTTGCTTTCTGAACTCCAATTACTGAAGAGGGACCCAGTTTTTCAGGCAAGCAGGGGTCAAATCTCTAATAAATTTATCCAGGGTTAAATTTCAATTGTAAGATACATTTCCCGTTTACGCAAAATTCGAAGGCGCGCTGAATGACGACGGTGAACGCCGTGCAACAAAAATGGAATCATAACGAAGCTGGTTATTACTACTTTAACTTTATTACTTTAAAAGTTAACAGTAATTCACACACTTATCATTTATTTGTTTGTTTCGATCTCTGAGTATAGAATTCAAAATGTGAGAATAGAGAAGAAACGAAAATTGTATAATAAGAAGAAGATATTTGTCATCATA